AAAAAAAAAAAAACGGAGAAAATATTTGCGTCGTGCTGTTTCAATTTCAGAAGAATGAACCATTTTCAAGTATGTCAGGCGAAGAGGCGAATCATCGGTTTGTAGGGAAAAACACGGCAAGTAAGACATTAGTGGCAAATAAGTGATTTTCAACGCATAAATAAACAAACCTGCCAGAGTCGGAAATTGGTGGCGAACGCGAAAACGTCAAACACGAATTTCTCCAACTTGATTCCATTGGGAGCAGGAGGTTTTGGAACGGCAACGTGAGTTTGGGGATCCATGCAGGGGATCTTTTTCGTCGCGGGATGATACTGCAGTTTATCCTCATTCTCCACCGAGCAAACTCGCTGCAAAAACTCGAGCGTGAAAAAGTGATTGCAAATATTCCCCGCAGAGAACGTCAGCGTGCCATCTTCGTTCCGCTTGGCTGCCGTCGCCGGGAGAATTTCAGAGTATTCAACCACCTGAAACAACGACAAAAAATTGCAAAAAATTGTAAAAAAAAAAAGTATATACGAGGGTTCTAACAAAAGTTCTCGGAATAAAAATGAAAATGGCGTCTAATCGAGATGAAAAAAATTATTTTTTAGGGCAAATTATTAATTATTCTTTAATTTTTTTTATTGGGGCCAATGTGGCGGCTGTGAACCAATGTGGCGGCTGTGAACCAATGTGGCGGCTGTGAAGGCGGCTGTCGATGAAAATGGCGGAATTGCCTTGGAAACCTGGAGGAAACCCTTGGAACTAATGCCAAGTAAATGCCTGGCAACCCTTGGAATTACTGTCACATTGATTTCAAGAATTCTGAGGGGAAAGCTGGGCCACTAAAAAAAAAAAACTGCAGAAAAGGCGCCTCATCTGTTGAGTGGATTGCAAAACTCTGCCAGGGTGAATTTGGCAAAACATTAAAAAAATTGTCAAACAGGGCTGATTTTTTGTGTGCCAAAGAATATGTTTGCCCTAAAGAATAATTTTTTTCAGCTCGATTAGACGCCATTTTCATTTTCATTCCGAAAACTTTTGTTAGAACCCTCGTTTATATACTGTATATATTTACCGTATAATAATGTATATATTTTGTACAGTACATCGTAAAAATCATTGACTAGAAGCAAAAATCTTGGACTGAACTGGATTTTTCACATACCCTATTAAGAGACCTACTATATTTACTCGAGGGCCACAAAATCTCGAAAAAGATGAGCATCCGGATTTTTTTCAGCCTAAAATTTTTACAAATCTTTCCAATTAAAAACGTTTGAAATTAAGAATGATTATAGACTTCCCTCAAATTAAATTTCATAACACACACACCCTCAAGGACTGAAGAAAAAACGGCGCATAATTTCTAAAATGCACGATTCATCTCTCAGCGGATCTTGTCCCCAAACCTGGAATTTCCCGGAAACGTCGCAGAAAACCCCGACGGGTTCGTCAGCCATTTCCTTGGCCACGACTTTGGCAGCGCAATCAGCACCCTGCTCCAAACAATATCCGACAAACACCGGATCCGCCACCTTCACCAACAAGTTGTCAACGCCATAAACGTGCACGCAATCAACTCCGCGCGACGCCATGTCATCCAGCATCCCGGCTTTTCGCAAACTCGCATACAATCCTCCATTGCCGTCCGGGCTCTTGGCAATTTTGCTTTCAGTCGCCAGCAGAATCCGACCGGTTAAGTCAAAACACGGAGCTAAGCCTTGATCAAAAATTAGAATGTTTGACGGGTCCAGGCCGAAATGATTGTGACTGGCGAGGAACTCCGTCGTGGCAACGAGCGTGTGTCCACTCGTCATTATGTACCACGGAATATTAGCCTGACAAGTAAACGAAAGAAATCGTATTAAATACCAGAAATGCGGAAATCAAGAGCAAATTATGCATTCAGATCCATTAGATTCCCAGTTTTCCAATGTAAGTAATAAGAGAAAAATAAAATTAAATGCCTAAAATAAGGAAATCACGCAGAAATTATACAATCTAATCAATTGTATAGTCAGTATCCCAACGTAAGTAATAGAAAGAAATCATATCACATGCACGAAATGCGGAAATCGCCAAGAAAACATGCATTCAAATTGATTAAATTCCCAGGTAAGTGATAGAAAACTTGAGCACGATAACGGAAAGAAATCAAATTGAATGCCCGAAATTCGAAAATCGCGAGGAAATGATGCATTCGAATCAGATTCCCAGTTCCCCATGTAAGCATTAGGTACCGGAAGTGCGGTAATATAAAAAAAGCAAATTGAACGCCTGAATTGCGGAAATCACAAAGAAATGACGCATTCAAATCAATTACGGTTGATAGAAAACGCGTGCGGTAATATAAAAAAATTAAATTATGCCTGTAATGCGGACATCACAAGGAAATGACGCATTCGAATCAACGCGATTCCCATTTTCTCAACGTCAACATCCGCTCCTTTCGTCAGAGTATCGAAAAAAAAAATTTTCTTGAACAATGCAAGTGTACACGCAAGAACAATATACGGTCAACCCTCGATTTAATGCCACCCTCGCATTGTGCCACAAATTGCGTTGGAACAAATCTCCCTCTACTGTGTATTCAAGGAAAACCTCGATTGAGTTCAGACTCACTTAGCGCCATGAACAATTATCCTATTGAATGAAAAATGGGCCCGAATCAAAGAAATCAAGGCAATTTCGGGGGATATCATTAGGGTATTGCTGAGAAGTACATGCCTCATGCCCAGGATAATTTTCAAGTCATTCTTCAGCATTTTAAACGTCATTTGGAGGATAACGCGCACCTGAGAAAGATGGCTTGAAAATTATTTTTCCTCAGATAACTGCCCTTAATGGGGGTAAATTACACATTGCATTAATTGGGTGGCATTATTTGAATAATTATGGCATTGAAATTTATTCATCTATAATTAGTTAATTGAAATTATACATAGAAATCGAAGGAACCACCAAAAATTGTCTCGGCACCTTCAAATGAAGAATAAGCACGAAATTGTACAATTTCCAGAGAAAATCGCACCTTGACACCAGTCAGTTCCTCGGCCAGGAATTGAAGCCGTTTGATCCTTTCAGCTTGGATTTGATACAAAGTTTTCTTGGAAGGAAGTCCAACGCTGAACATGCCTTTCGGATAGGGAACCCCGAGTCGAGTGCCTTGTCCTCCAGCTAGCAAAATCACTGCCAATTTTCCTTTGGCGATGGCTTCTAAAGCTGTTCGAATCAAAGCAAACAAAAAAACAATTTCCAGTCAGCTCGTTGAAAAATATTTCATGGCAAAAAAATGCCATGCAAAATAAAATGAAACTGAATTTCACGGAAACGACCGATGAGTGGTCATTTGAGAACTTATTTCCGAGAACAGGAGCAAAAATCTAAGAAAAATATTTGTTAAGCTTGAACATATGACTGGAATTAATCGGTTTTCTTTTTCGACATACATCATACCAAAGTTTTAATGTTGAAGTGAACATTATTTTTTTTTAAATGTACTCCTCAAGTATCCAGGTGTCCCCAAATACAGTCATGAAAACATTCAAAAATGTAGCTGTCTCAGAGTTGAACTACAAACGTCATAGAACCCACATTTCAATCGCTTGCGCAAAGGCGTCGCCTGAATCTCGTTATATCCGAATTCACAATTGTCAAGTTTCGCTAGGATCTGAGGTTATATTTTTGGGCAGCTCAGCAATTTAAGCGATTTCTGTTCAAAATTTCAAAAAAAAAATGGCCTAGTGAAAGAAAAAAAAAACCGTGCGAAAAAAATATGCATTCAGTCGACCCACAAGAAAACTTTCGATTTCCAAGCGACCAGTGAAACATTACACTCACCAGTTTTTCTATATTTCTCCAATGTCTCTTGAGAGCAATCCGACGAAGAGGAAATTATCTTTGGCGGCGGTGGTTTCATGATTTCATCCAAACAAACGTCCAAGTTGCCTTTCACCAATTCCATTGTATCTCGAAACTTCAACACCATACGTGTAACATCAATCCTAAAATAAAAAAACAATCACACGAGAAAATAAAATCAACATCTTCTCCCATATTTAAATAATCAATCATTCAATGCATTGAAGAAAAAAGAAAATACCAGGGAAACGATCAAACTATTGATTGGAAACAAAATCGTCCCTTCTCACGTTGAAGAACCGGAAAAGGACTCACCGTATTCAGCCTATTTTAAAATCAAGTCCCGCTTTCACCCGAGTTCACATTCACACTTCTTACAAAACAAAGGAGGTGAAAACGAGGAGCGTTTCACAGTCAAAAACAAATTTTACAGTGACATTACTTCAAGATTCGGAACTATTCTCCAAAATTTGAAAAAAAAAAATGTCAGACTTCTCTACTATTCGTACGAAACAAAAATATCAAGTTGACTTGAAAATTGATTTTTAGTCAAGATAGCTTTTCAGAAAGGAATTTTGGTAACTGACAAATAAGGTTCTCGTCTTATGCTGGGATAAAATACTCTAAAAAATCGTACCCAATATTCTTACTCGATGGCGCGTGATGCTGAGTAAATACGGTAACTAAAGGATGTAAACTCCAAACCAATTTAATATAGAAGTATAAAAATAACAGGTACGTTCATCAAGAAAAAAGCACCAATATTATAAAAATGTTCGACAACAACGAAAATTAAAAATACATACGATTCGACATCGTCAATCAACTCCTGCTTCGCGTCATCGTTCAATGAAGTCCAAAAGTGCAGAAGATGCTCTTGGCCGTCAACCTCCAACCGAGCTCTCAACGCTTCCAAATCCATTTCTCACTTCCGCGAAGCANTCAGGAGCTCGTCAGGGTCCGAAGTCGGCGCTGAGCACGCTTGATCCACGCACACGTGCGCCCTCGCAACGGCGTCCTCATTCCCGCCACCGCCGCCGTTGGTCGTCGCCGGACCACCGACACTCAGGCCAAGCTTTTTCGCAATAAATCCCGACGACCCGGTCTTGTTGTCAATGAAAACGAGGGCCTTGTTCGGGGCCGAGGCGGAGAAAACGGCGCCGATGAGTGCGTTGGTCGCCGGCGACCCGCGCGGGCCTTGAACAACCACCTGACGCATCCCAACCTGGCTCATGATGAGAGCCGTGAACATTTGGGGCAGGGCCATGGGCATGTGGCGCAGTCGAGGCTTGTAGGCGTCGAATATTCGCAAGGCCCGCGTGAGCATGGCCGCCTCGCCCAGAGAGGCGTGCAACCGCAACAGGTTCTTCACAGCCACCGAGTTCGCAGTCGGCTCCCCTCCGTCCTGATCTGTCAATTTTTTTTAAATGCCAAACTCGAAATCAATCCCATAAACCATAATAAATATTCCGGGTGCTCATCTTTGCGTAAATACGGTAGATTAATTCATCGTTCAGCACGTGCATTTATTCCAGATTATGCAAAAACGAATCATATTCAGTACACTTAGTTTACGTCCAACGTCAAAAAAGAATTGGCACGACCAGCAAGAAAGCGTGGACATGAAAAAATATTATACCTTCTTTGAGCCTAATGAGGATATTCGGGTCCCCTTCGCGAGATTCAAAGTAGCCGCCTAAAGCGGCGTCCCAAAAAAGCTTGTCCATCACTTCTTGCAACTTGTACGCCCACTCCATCCACCGCTCGTCCAATGACGCCTCATACAAATCCAGCAATCCCTTCAAACACAAAGGAAGACATTCAAAAATGGACGACATGGATTTTCAAAGAGAAAATTTAAAGCTTCATCAATATTCTAAACACAATGCGATAAATCACGAAAAAATACGGATATTTCAAATTTAAAACCGGGTTATCACGAACTTTTTTCACAGAATCAAGCCTCACAAAAATGTAATAATTCGCGACGGCCGGTAAATTAATTTGAAAGGGATTGGAAAAGAAATGAGAGGAAAAATATGGATCCACGCTCTAGACATCTTATTAAAATTACAATGAAATATTTTAAATTGAGACCAGAATACAATACAGTGCAGTACTATCAAGGTGCTGCAAAATACTTGTGCTACTGCGATTATCAAGAAATCATTTTTTCCAAACCAATAATCCCTTGAATGCACTCGGAAACGTTTAAAAATGTATCGACTACTTGATTAATAGGAAAAGGAGCAAAAAAATTAAAAACAATTTTCTGACCGACTGCAAAAACATCGCAAGACTTGAAAATAAATATATTCCCAATTCAAAGCAGAAAACCCCTTGGAACCATGAACTGCTTCAAAGAAGGTCCCAGAAAATAATACCTAGAACGACTATTCCCATTTAACATTTTAAAATACCGTATGAAAA